GTAGTCAGATGGATTCTCATTTAAATAAACTGATTCTTATTAGTTTGTTCCATTTTGATATCGGTGACTGAACCATTTCTAAATTGTCTAAATCATTTATTGTTTCAGTAGACCATTTAACACAAGAACACCTAACTATTTGTATTTAGACAGTATCGTTTGTCAATCGTTTATTCCATTTCGCAAACCATCACTAAACCATTTATGTTTGGTCTGTGCCGTTTAATAATCTTGTATTTTTGGTGGTGACGGCCGCCCATAGGAGATTCAAGTCCAAAGTAACCAGAGGTTTTTCTTTCTCGCCGCTTCGCGACTCGTGTTTCACCGCTTCGCGGCTCTCTCGCAGCTCTCTCGTAGAAAAATCAAGAAAAACCTCTGGGACCAGGGTAGATAGGTTCACTCTAAAGAAGCTGTTTCACGTCCCAGCGTTTCAGCGGATCAACAAATATTGTGACGCACTTTGTTTATTGATTTTCGATAAATTTGCGTCACTTCCAAGGCGACTGTTTTAAATTGTCAAGTTGTTTTAAATTGTATACAGGGGTATACAAGAGACACGCTGCAGCAGCCATGACCTGGCTCTGTTGTTTGGTGATATTATTGCAAGTTATTTTAGCTGTGGACCATAGAACAGAGACAGAAACCACTGTTATTTGTTCATCAGGCCTCATGTACCTACGATTACGAAGTTGCTGTACATACCGCTAGAGGGGCGCACTCTACTGCCGGGGAAGGATTTCAACTTCACGCTCTGGTGAGTTCATAACTTGTGTACAAAATTTCAAACCGTATAAAACTTAATTACGTTTTCAAAGATCAGCGGAATTTCTTCTATCTCAGAACTTGTATTTTCTTACGCAAAAATGTGCTAGCTCTTGGATATTTTATAGCTGTACCAGTAAGCGCGCTAGATTCGATGAATATCATAGTACGGCATGTCATATTGCCCGCGCAGAGTAGGAAATCGAAACCGTGACGAGTTGCACTATTTCATTTTCAGTCCATTTATCCCAGTGATCATATTGTCATTCGGTATTTCCGATAGAAAAGACGAACATGCATGTATTTTAATCGCGCAAGAAGACTTTGCGTTAAAATTAAGATTTGTCAATTCTACGAACTGAAACTAAAGCTATTAGCGAAAGTTCAATAAATAACCGCAGTTGTGAAGTCTTTTGTTGCGTCGATCAAGTGGATTTCAAGTTTTTACAGCAAACATTTACAAGAGTCGGCCTTTTAACTATTCCCCGTCAGTTCCGTATCGGCCGCATCTCCTCGACTGTCATAGGAGTTTCAGCGAAAGAACCACAAGAAATCCGCTTTGCATTCAGTTTAATGAGAATGTTCAAAACTTCTGTTTCGGAGAATTTTCAGTTACTCAAATTAGCTCCAAACTCTTTCTTGGGGCTACGTCAGAGATGCAACTTAAAACAATCTATTGTAGCTTAGTTATGAAAACGGGGCTTTGTTTCCCCGAGTTCTCACTACATTTCAAGCCTTTTCGTACCTTTATTTGTGGAGGATGGGGACCTCTGAGTTTAAGAGAAGGGCCGTTACATTTTGACGCGTCTTGCGCGGCCATCACGTTCTCGCTACCTCGTTACACGCGCGCGTGACCCAAACGCGAGCCTGCCCGCGCGCCAATGAAGCTCCTGCTTCTGAAACTGCTAATTTAATAATCGATATCCTAACTTATATCAAATCAGTCCAGATGCTGTGCAAGGTTTAAGTTTTCGGCATTTTGAGCGTTGCTACTTAAAGTTAGGGGAAATTGTTTCTGTTCAGCACCAACTGACACCGTAATTGATCTCATTTATAGTACTAACGGCAAAGACGTTGAAGAATACAAAGAATTTTAGACTGTAATTTAGGCGAGCATGCATTTGTACGCTGAACGTATTACCGGATATTGCATGCAGCGTTTAATTTCAGAATTAGGTTAGATAACATAGCCTTTACTTTATGTTTGACCCTTAATGGTGCTGTGATGTTGTTCCTTAGAAGTAAAGTAAATGCAGATTACATCGAACATTCTTCGTGCGTATACTAATTGAAGCTTTTCAAATTAACGCACTAAAACTCCTCTCTGCAGCTACCTTCGACTCAAAATTCGAAAGACTATGTTTCTTTGAACAATTTTAAGTCTAGGCGGCATCAAAATCGCATGCAATATAGATACGAAAAGTGCGAGATTGAAATGTCATTTGAACTGTGCTGTGCGCATCTTAATATTCGATTTATTGATGTTCACCTTTTCCTCTTCACTGCTTCAATGGTTCCATTCAATATTACGGTGTCGCCAATTCTTTTAAAAGTCCATTTGCCATATTCTCAGTAATTTACATTTCGTTTCAAATTTTCACTCTGCTATGAACAATTCGTTTCGTCATTTTTTCCGGGAAATGAATTCTGACTCACCTCGGTCACAACAAGTCCCACCGTATCCTGCCCTACAGCT